TCTCGAACCCGCGGGCTCAGGCCATCCACTCACCTCAGCCTCCCCAAGGCGCGGGATCACCGGCTGAGCCACCGAGCCTGGCTTGGAGACTCTTTCAACACGTTTGCCCATTTCAAGATGGGTGATTTATGAGCACACCTGCCCACACCGCACTAAGTGTACACCAGTTCTTGACCAAAAAGGGCATGACCCCCTGTGTTCCACCCTCCCTATTCACTTGATCTTGCCCCGAGCAACTTTTTTTTTTTTTTCCTGGATGAAAAAAATCCTCAAAAGGAAACATTTTGCTGATGTAGACGAGGTGAAACAAAAACCGGCCGAAACACTAAAAGGCATCCAAATTGATGAGTTCAAAAACTGTTTTGAGCAGTTGAAACAGCATCTCAACAGATGTACTGCATCATACAAAGAATACTTTGAAGTTGACCAAAGTTAAACATGTCAGAATAAGTACACAAACTTTTAGGGTTTTTTTTGGGGGGGGTTACCCCTTATATTGCCCTATGAGGGTCTGGAGTAGCACATGAAATAAGCACATGAAATATTTCTTTACAAAACAGATGCTTATTCTTAGTAAACCAGATTTTTCTACCAAAGAAGTTACCAAAAACATAAGACAAAACAGAAATCCCTTTTGATTTCTGAAATTTGTGGATTTAGAATTGGGGATAAGGGTTGGTGAGTCAGTATTCTTTTCAGATACACAAACATATTTAGAGTTTTGTTTCTACTTTTTCATTTAGTTATGAAATGAAATGTGAGTTATAGGAATGTATTTTCCCAAGTTATTAAAAATTAATCAAAAACATGCTTCTTAATGTCCATGTAATATACCCCACAGAAATGCATTTTATGTATTTAACTATTTCTCTCATTTTTGGAATTATGGATTTTTGTTTGTTTTTGCAAATCACACTTTGAGGGGGCATATCTAAATATCAGATTATCTGAGTTTCTGATCACTTTCTTGGATAGGTTCCTAGGACAAGAATCATTGAATAAAATGGCAAAAACTTTAAGGGTCTTGATGAGTTTCTAGAAAGACTGTACCATTTACATTCTTTCCAGCAGGATGAATACTTGGTTTATTTGTTTAATTACCAAATTTATCACAGGCACAGAAAAATTACACTTGCACCTCACATACCTTTTTTCTTTCTTTCTTTTTTTGAGTCCCACTCTGTCACCCAGGCTGGAGTGCAGTGGCACGCTCATGGCCACCGCAGCTTTGACCTGCTGGGCTCAGGCAATCCTTCTGCCTCAGCCTTCCAAGTAGCTGGAACTACAGGTGTGCGCCACCACTCCTGGCTAACTTTTTGATTTATTGTAGCAATGAGGTCTCACCAAGTTGCCCAGGCTAGTCTCGAACCAGTGGGCTCAATCAATCCTCTCACCTCAGCTTCCCAAAGTGCTGGGATTATAGGTTTGAGCCACTGCGCCCGGTCACACCTCACATATCTTAGCAAAGTTCTAGACAATGATGACTAAATTGAGAAGATTTTATTTTTGTTTGCCTTACACAGAAGACAGAAGGGGCAGCTTGCTGTTTTTCACATAACAAGAGAGAAACGGGGTTAATATAAGTTTACCATCAAACAGTCCTCATTAGGCCAGACGGAGTCAGATGGGACAATGAGGGCTGTGACTTGTTCATGGGATCTTAACATGGAAAATGGCATGTGGAGTTCAGAAATAATTCACAGATCATCATGAGAAGAAAAATGGCTGATTATTTGTGAGCTGATAATTCAGTTTCTAGAATAATGAGGCCATGTATGTCCCTTCCTTCTGGTTTTCTTCCTACTTCTTAGACATTTTGTTGTTCCTCAGTATCTGGTCTCAGAGAGCAGAAAGAGATGTGAAGACAAACTCGAACTGGACCTGCCAATGATAACAGCTAAGCTTCACACTTGCTTACAGTGCGTCAGCTCTGGTGCCAGGTGTACTGCACGCACCATCTCTTTTAACGTTGAGTGCATTGGTATAAAAACTAATGGCTGGCAAGTTTGAGGTTATGTCACTCATCGGTCCTCCTTATACCCTGATACATTTGTAGGAATTTGAGCTTTAGAATTTCAAAGACCTATTCAAGCCCAGTGTCTTATTACCATGATGACACCAAGTTTTGTCAGTGCCATCTATAGCATCTATTACAGAGCAGGGAAAGTCTAACAAAATTCTAGATAATAGCAAATCTTTTAAGGTCCTGTACCGACAGAGGAGAGGCTGTAGCTCTTAGAGCACCACAGAGAGATGAGGGAGTCTATTATCCAACACAAAACAAGGTGGACATGGAGGAAGGAATGAAGACAATAATAAAAAAGATTTAAAATGTTTGTTTGTCATGTGGAATAAAATCACTCCACTCTTATCTATAAATGTAATTTCTGCTCCCAGTATTTACTATAAAATGGCTAAGGTCTGAGGGCTGGAGATGCAAAACATTTCCATTTTGGGAGTTAATTAAATTGATCTTTCCCAACAATCTTATCTAAGAATAAGAGTTATTTTTATCAAAATGGTCAAAAGACCAAAAGGCCAAAGGTTTACCCAAGAAGTGGGCTGTGGCTTCTCTTTATAATTTAAGTAGCATTCTTAATAAAGAGGTGTCACTGTGGGTAGAATGACTTATAAATAATTTTTTTCTGTGCCACAACCAGGTATATGGTTAATTTTCTAAGCACACCAGGTCTACAGGGTGTGAAAAATAAAATGGTAATAGAGGAAATAACCCCTCAAATAACATACTTTGTATTTCCCAAGGGCCTAATTGCTTCGGGGGAAAACAAAACAAAAAAAACCAAAAACAAAACACACACACACACACAAACCACTACTAATACCACAAACGATTACCAGAAGCTCTTTAGATACTCAAACTGTGCAACTAGCATTTGTAAAGCTAATTACAAATTTGGATTCTCTCATTTTAAAAATATACTTCGAAGCAACCCACTTTTGTTTCAGTGCTAAACCAAAGTCTGCGCAACTGGCACATTGACAAAGTGAAAAAAATACACACACACACACACACACACACACACACACACACATATGCATGTATATAATGCATCACTTGAACAAAGTTATTACTTTCAATGTCACTAAATCCTGAACTGCAAAATACCATAAGCTAAAAACAAGTAATGATACATGGTTATATTATCTTACATTTACAAAAGAGTTTACAGTTCCCAAGCTCCGGAGATGTCACAGTAGCATTGTTTTGTTGGTCAGGCCAGTCACTGCCTTAGAGTCCAGCACCTCTTACAGGTTCTTGGGAGTGTTTTTCGCACGTGATAAGATACATAAAATTCTGGGTATCGTCATTCTTTTTACTAACAACATTGTGAGGCATTAAGACAGTCTCATGTCATAGTTCAGAAAGATGAAACAAAAAAAGTACCAAGTTAGGAGATCTGCATACATTCCTGAGTTGGCCACAAACTAGCTGAGTGACTGTCCGGGACTTAATTTCTTCGGTAAAATGAGGCGGGTGAATGAGATGACTTGAAGGTCTTCTTGAGGCCAGTGGTTCTGGGATCTAATGCTTGGACCTGGTAGTGATGAGGGAGCCTTAGGAAAGACTCTTGGGAAGTAGTTCTCCTCCTGGAGGCCAAAACTCCACAAAGCCAAGGGTGGTCCCTACCAAACCAAGGCCTGCAGTGTTGGGGCAGAGTCGTTGGATAGCCCTCAACTACTGGAGATGGGACAGACATCAACTAGCTCATTTTGCAGGACTCAGGAATCAGGAGAGGTTGGGAAAATCGTAGGGGAATGGCCAGGGCCTCTGGGGCATTGGGAGGAGTATTAGAGGAGTTCAAAACAGCAGTTCTTTATTAACCGGTACAGATGTTTCATGACTTTAACAACTGGTGTAGCCAAATAAGTATACACTGATTGCATGACTGAACGTCAGTCTTGCAAACAGTCTCACTATTGTTTGACTATCAGTCTCAAAGAGAGAGCCACCTCTGTGGGCTGCCTATCTT